ACTGAAGGTTTGCGGAAACCCTCCTGGACATGCTGCTGTGCCCTCAGGAACCATCTTACATCAAACCTGACGATGCTTCAAAGTAGCCTTAAAATATTAAAGCCAAGCTGGGGTGAAATCAGCTTTTGTCTTGGAGCTTGTGAGCGTAAGAACCCCGTAAAATCCCAAGCAGAGGGTGACCTCCTGAGGACCAGGATGGTCCCTCTCCCTCACCAGCTTTCCTGGTAGAACTCTGTGGAGCCAGAACCTTTCTTTTGGGCGAGTGCCACCCCTGGGTTGGACTCGCGCTGTCACCTGCGGTGCCCACCCCAGCTGGCCAGCCCACCACAGGCTCAGACCCCCTCGCTCCCCGCACCCACTCCCTTCTAGGCCGTTGCTTTGCCTGGAGCAGCATCACCCCCCAAACACCAGCCTCTCCTCATCCTGGCTTCTGCCCGCCTGCCTTACGGCCCCAAACACCCACCTAAACCTGCTTTAAGATATACCTGTACGAACTTGGACCTTTCCTGGAGCACCGTCCCCTTTGCATCGTACTATCCATCCATTTTCTCTCCCACGTTCATGAAGATGAAGACAAGCTGCCTGGAGCAGCATCACCCCCCAAACACCAGCCTCTCCTCATCCTGGCTTCTGCCCGCCTGCCTTACGGCCCCAAACACCCACCTAAACCTGCTTTAAGATATACCTGTACGAACTTGGACCTTTCCTGGAGCACCGTCCCCTTTGCATCGTACTATCCATCCATTTTCTCTCCCACGTTCATGAAGATGAAGACAAGCTCTACGTCACCCTAGCTAAAAGATGTCAAGCATGGCCAGGAAGCGTTCCTTGAGGGGGGAGCTGTAGATATGGGGAATTTTCTTCCTGATTCCTGCCTGGCTTAAAAGGAAAAAGAATTATTTATATGTGTGTCACCCATCAGGCCCGCTCTCTGTGCTAATCCACCCGCTCCGGCTTGCGCAGCAGCAGGTTGCTCCCCAACTCAGTCCCCTGACCTTGCCTCTCTTCCCATCTGCTCCATGGTGGCATCAGTGGTGACTTGAGGTCACAGCCCTGGGACAACTTCAGTGCTGAGCCCCTCGGAAACAGTGTCACAGTTTGACATGATAGGTGTCATTTAGCATCATCGGAAGGACGAGCCTCTGAACAGCTTCGGGAAACGCTTTGGCACGCAGTCAGTATTCATCCTACACCAAGTCAGGAACAGTTATCCACCAGCTCCATTTTGGGGGCAATAGCGTTTGACTCAAGAAGACCGAAGAAACACGAAGCATTGCTACTACGAACAGAATATTTTATTACTTCGAACACTTCATTCAGCTAAATCCACATAGCAATACACACGGAAATACTTCAGGAAAGTGCAAATTGTCACTCTGTGTTTGTAATACGCCCGAGTTTTACAGAAGAACAGACACCGGGTAAACAAGAGTACAGATCCAAAACTCCCCAGGGCTCTAGACAAGGAGAATGATGCAGCTTCGGATACTTCGATCACCTTGTACAAAGCTACTCTTGAGCACGCAGAGGGCGGGGGAGGATGGAAAGTGTGCTGGGCACCAGGAATTTGCTATCAGGGTGGACTCTGATCATCCAGGCGTCACCATGCAAAGTGTCCCCCTCTCCTTGGGGAGCAAAGACAGCAAAAAGGGGGAGAAAGACAAAATGAAGTGATGACAAATGAGAGTTTTAAAATTAAAGAGAACATCCAAGTGCTTTCTAAAGCTTTTGGAAGTGCTTTCTAAAGCAGACCACACGTTCCGCCCTGCCCCGACTGACAGAAGCCATCGTTCCCCCTGGTGGCTTCTCCCTCAATACTCTGACAGTTTCACACAAACGCGCTCCCTTTTAATAAAACAGGAGCTGAAATCCTAAATACTGCCAGGAGCCAGACAGAGGGGACACAAAGTGCTACCTGAGTACCGCTAAATCGGGGAATAATGCCAGAAATTTCAACATGCAAGTATCCTCCAAGCAAAGATATGGCAACAGCTTGGGATTAGTCAAGAGCTGCCCAAGGCAGGTAAGAGCCCCGGGCAGCGTGTACTGCATGTTGCGAGTCACCTCAACGTCTGAAACAGAAACACACAGAATTTTAATTCTTAGTTTAGTCTGTGGATGACACAAATAAGCATTTCCCCTCCAGAAAAGGAAGAGCTGGGTATTTAAAATTAAGGAAATTAGGAGATTTACTCAGGCAAAGCCCCAGTTCTCCTGCAGCCCAAGGGAAACCTGGCTCCTTTGAATTGCACCCAGGCTGCGGGAAGGGCAGGCGAAGCAGAACTGGCTCACCAGTCGAACGGGACACCGGGCCAATGGCAAACACCAAGCAGGGGCTATGCTACTTTGGGCTAGAGCTAGAGCTGGGCTTGCAGCTTCAGGTTAAACTGTCCTGCGTTAAGCACGCTCCCTCCTTCTCTTCCAGGCGCGAGTTTACGATTCACTCGTCCCATGGCAGGAAGCATCCTTCAGAGGTGCAGGGGCAGAGACATGAGTAGCACCTGAAGCTATTTAAACCACGGACTCGACGCTCTATCACAACCAGAATAAAATAATGCTGCTACAAGCTCTGTATAGCAGACACCCAACCTTGCCTGGCAAGTCCCCTGTGCTTCTAAAGGTCCTGTCCTAGGCCCACGGAAACACAACGTCGCCACGTATCTGAGCAAGGCAGAGATTAAGCCTGTCACATCAAAAAGGGAGAAGACAAAACCAAGCCCTCCTAATTTTATCAAATGCTGAAAGCAAATCATTGGCTGTATGATTATGCTTTAAGCCAATGACTTGCTGTAGAGCAGCCTTTGAAAAGGCGTATTTTAACGGGAAGCACCGAGTAAATATCCACAACGTACTTTGATCTATTATCTGCTTCCTACTCAAGTCTGAGAAGCCGTTATTCTTACCTGAAAAGCAGTGCAGAACAGCTGACAGCTGAAAGCAGGTTGTGTGCAAGCCCAACAAACTCTACCGCTATGTACAACAAAATTACAGGGCAATAAAATAAGAGAATTACAGTCCTTCACAGTAACAGAAGTAAGGGAAGCAAGATCAGAGGGAGGAGATAAAGGAGGAGTTCCACAAATGGAACAGTATAAATATATCAAACAGTTCAAATACAGTAGGAAAACAACGGTAGCAGCAGTTTAAAAACAGCAATAGTTATACCCTTAAAATACATTCAACACGTTGTGCCTGTTGCTGGCATTCCAAAAGCACTACTACGCCTATAACTTACTGCTCAAACCTATCGACGAGAAGAATCCCAGACGCTTAACTCCCTGTATTTGTTTTTTATTCAAGATATTTAGACTATGAACGGTTACCAACCTCTAAGAATGCTGATCTGAAAACATAATCGCGATTTTTTTTTTCCCACACTGCATCTATAACACACGCCTACTAATATAAAGCAGATCTCGCTGGGAAATTGCCGATTCCCGCTCTTTGTGGGAGCGCAAATGGAGCTCACAAGACGTTAACTCCTAGTGCTAACTGCTACAATATACACCCCGCTGGCCTCACCACACACGCGACACTTTTTACAGTGTTTACCTTTGTTCAAAGTTATGTTCCAAGTCACTTGTTCTCTCCTGAACGACTAGAAGCGATTTCAAAAACAAAATCCAAAACGCCTAAGGCCTTAACCTGCTGCCAAGGGAGCAAACGGCAAGACCTCCTTCAAATTCAGCGCAGTCGGGATCCAGATCTGCACCTTTTTGAAGATGAAGCAGCAGTCAGAAATGCCTTCACACTTTCGGACACCTACCCAGCGCTGTACAAGAACATGAGCACACCCTAAGCGTAAATGCTTTCACACATTTTTCCCCACCACATCAGTCAAATGTACAACCAAGGGAAAAAAAAAAAAAAAAAAAAAAAGGTTTTATGTTGTTTTTTGGCATTAGATACATCTCACTCAATTGCAGAACGATTTGGAAATATTTTCTCTTAAAATAAAAAATAAATAAATACCGGTGGCAACTAAGAATTTGTGCAACACAGACCTTCTGCAGTACATGTACATTCATATACAGCAAAATACTTCTCCACGGTTATAGTGCAAAGCTTCTGTCAGCATGAAATACCCAATATCCGCACACATTAGATACATCTCACTCAATTGCAGAACGATTTGGAAATATTTTCTCTTAAAATAAAAAATAAATAAATACCGGTGGCAACTAAGAATTTGTGCAACACAGACCTTCTGCAGTACATGTACATTCATATACAGCAAAATACTTCTCCACGGTTATAGTGCAAAGCTTCTGTCAGCATGAAATACCCAATATCCGCACAGACACAGGAACCTCGGTGCTCTTTAAAGCCAGCTAGATGCAACACACACAAAACCACTCTGCGCGATCCTACGGCATCAAGCTGCAAGGGTATAAGAAAACGGAGGACAAATTTAGAGATTTAACAATAGTGGCAAAACAATGGCTTTAGCTGAAGCGCATCGGAAGTTCTTCTCATATAACCTCCAATACAGAGGTTAAGTCTTCAGGTTTATCCATTTCTTTTATCTAATTCCTGGAAAGTGAGAGCGGGCAGATGTCCGGAACATCCCTGACTTTATTCTGAAGGTATCTATTAGCAATTTAGTAGCACACATTAACAAATATTATTCTCAGCTAATCAATCTGCAGGTTTTCTTGAAGCGTTGTTCTGGTTGAAGTATTTTCCACAGCTTTTCTCTGCCAAACCATGGCTTTTATTTTCCGAAATCCTCGTTATCTACATGAGAACTTGTGTATCCGTCTATCTTTCGGGAAAAGCGATTAGCAGTATCACCTTCTGCTCAAGCAAAGGTAGGAAACAGATAATGGGAAGTTGTTAAAGATTTGCCCCAAAGGATAAAGAATAATACTATTTGCAAACTGTTGTTCTAACAGAAATTAGTTTACAAGATGTGACCAAAAAAAAATCCTGATGTAGTAAAAAGAAAAAAAAAAATAAAAATTAAAGGTGTCAGCATCTTGCTTTCACTTTCTTCCTCCTTTTTTTTTTTTTTAATGTACAGGCAGTATGAATTCAAGCCATCAAACCAAAAAAAGTCACTAACTGGAATTTTCATTAAAAGTCACTAAATTTCTGAAACATTTCTTTAAAAAAAAAAAAAACCAAACCTTAAGTCCCTTCAGGGATGTGGGACAAAAAATGGTTACAAAGGCTACAGTAGAAGGGGCAATTGAACCAAGGAATGAACAAGTTTCTACTCCCCTGGAAGCCTTGGAAAGGCACTATGTAATTCCAAACCCAGCCTGCAAGTGGAATTATGTGTTGCCACTATTGTTTCACTGTCAAGTAAATATTTTAAGATGCACACGGGAAAGATACAATGCACCAAGAGCACCTTTAACAACAGAAGGATATTTAAGTAGCTGAAAAATGTCATCTTGAACAACTTGCCTAAACAAGAAATGCTAAGCACTGAACTCTACTTCAACATTTTTGGAAATTAAGACCTGTAACAAGGATACCTACAGTCACACACAACGGCGAGGAAGAAGCAGGCTTTTGTGTCAGTTTGGAGCCATCACGTCCTTCAAACACTGACTACCCGATTTTAAAACCTCTTCACACAAAAGGTATCAGGTACCTGAAATTAGTTTAAGACAAGATCTACTGGGTAAGATCAGCTGTCTTAAACCCGCTAGGGCAGTTCATCTGCGTTGGTGTGGGTTAATTAGGTTTGTGGTCAAAAGGACAGAAATGGTAATAATAAATTCTGTCCTTTTCTCTCACTTCCTCTCCTTATCCCAGTTTTCTAGCCCAGACTTTGGTGAAAAGCCTGACAAAAGAATGCTTCTTCTTTATAGAATAAAAATGTAGCTGTTTGTTTAACACACACACGCACACGTATTAAACTGAGTTCTGTTCTTGGTTCCTTTGTTTCACATGACGCAGTGCAGGCGGTCACTTCTTTCACCACCAGTTACAGGAGACCTAAGCAGAGCGCCAGATCAGTCCATTCTTATCAGGTTCAAGAAAATTCTCAATCAAAGCTTCAATAAGCTTCTGAAGTTCTTCTTCCAGCACGCTTCTGTCACTAGAAAGAGAATAATACTGTGTCAGAGGTTTGATAAACACCAAGCACCTATTAAAAAAATAAAATAAAAGGCAAGATCTGCTGGTGATGGACAAGATCTGTTATGTTTCCTACCAGCACCAGCCTGCAGGAACTCCAATCTGCTTGTTTTAACATGCTACTTTTCAGTAGGGACTACTGCAATATTAATTTAAGTTAATTCAAGAAAAAAAATCGCCACTAGAGGGCTACAGGCTAGCAGAGAGAAACTAAGAACTAACGACTGCAAGACCAACACAAGACTGGTCAGACACAGACTGTAAATGGATTAAGAAGTGAGGATGAGGTCCTGACAGAAGAGGCAGATACCCAATATTCTTCTCTACATGGCATCCAGATGCCCATCTAGGGCATCCGACTGTATTTTGACTAAAGTGCCATTTGGGGGGATTGAGTAATCAGGTAAAGTGTCACAGCCCACAGGATGACACCGTAATATACTGATCCTTTCCCTATTTCAATGCCCAGACATTCATTTGAGTAGAACAACAACATCCACATGTGCAAACACTAATGTGTTGCAACACTCCCTTAAAAATGCATAACCCCTCTCTCCTACCCGGAAGTCTCACTGGAGGGAGAGGAACTCAGTCTGTTTTTAAAGGAAAATAGGCCAAACCAGCTTATTTACATTTGCTTTGTTCATTTGTGGAACCAGCAATGTATCACTGCCCTCCAGGTCACCACCTCCTTTTAAAAAAAGCACCCTGAAAACAATGCAATAAAGCTGACTTTCCTGATGCTCAGCTTTTAAGAATAATCAATAAACAGCAACTTGGAGAAATACTTGCAATGCTACCATGGAGAGGAACGCCTTTTGAGGTTCCTACAGACCATTTTATGCCTCGAACCAGGGAAGCTTGAAAGCTTTTCCATTTCATGTTCCAGATAATAATTGCCATTAGCCACAAGTATTACTAAAACAAAAGATCGATGGATTTTTTCTGACTTACCAGAATGAACAGCAGCAGAAATCCAAATGATGCATCAAAGCACCCTGGGTACTTTGTTCCTCTTCCCACTACTCTTACTCGTCTGGCCCTCACTTGTGGTAAGATTGGGTTATTTCTAGCATTTATTTCTTTCTTGTTGCCTCAACTGTGTCTTACCTTTTCTTCAGCATTTGCACCAAATGGTAGCTTGTTCACTCCCAGGTTTACGGAAGCAGGTTCCAACTGAAGTGAGAATTTCTATACCCACGTAACAAAGAACTGCATTCATACGCCAGACAATCAGAAAGCTCTTTGACCAAATAAATACAAGCTTCTGGCAAGAGCCCCCATTCAGAAAACTGGGGTGTAGAACTCCTACCACTTCTCTGACCTGCTGTCATGGACAATTCAGAACATTTTAAAAACATGGGATTCAAAGGATGGGCCGTACCTGTGTTAATACACTTAATGTAGGAATAAACCTTGTTTTAAAGAATATTTCAGCAACCATGTCTAGGCACGGATCTGTGTATCCCCTCACGTGCACACTTCACAAGCAAAAGGAATTGACCACCTACTATACGCTGCCTAAATCGGACCAAAACATTCAGTGATAAAAATGTGCCCTGAATTCCTGCCAATAACTAGAAAGAAACACCAAATCTGAGGCCCCTTTATGTTATTTTCAATTCTCTGCTCTGCAGGAACGCTGGAACACCAGTCTAAAAGGAGTGGTACTCACAGAGCCTAGGTTAGGAACCCAGTTTAGGAGCCCACTTCTCCTCGTTAGCTAGGCTGAGAACCTAGGCTCCTCATTCCCACTCTGGACTGCAATGGTGTAGACATACCCTGTATTTTGTTTCCCCCCTTTTAAACTGGAAGAAGCTCAATCCAGGTGGCTGTCAAAAGGGGACAGACCTCTAGTTACTATCCAGCAGCTCAGAGCCACACAGCAGATTTCCAAATGCAACAGGAATACACCTGGGTTGAAGCATACTTGCCAGCAGCAGCCGAGCTTCATCACTTTTTAATTCTAAGTGAATGAGGAATTGGGTTAATAAAAGAAGTCTCCTACCGTAGCAGATGCTGAAAATTCAGTTCTTTGTCTTATCCAGTTTAACAGGCTGGGACAGGCAGCTGAGGCTCAGGCCTCCAAGGAGGCAGCAGAGGAATCCCCCACCGGGTGGGGAATCCATTCCTGCATTCCGACCTTTCCGCCCAAAGGCGCCCGGCAACGTGTGCGTGCAGACCTGCTACTGACCTCTGTTCGGGCAGCGCGCACATCTCTGCGTAGTACTTGATCTTTGGTTCTGTTCCACTTGTCCGAAGGGTGGCAACACAACCATTTTGAAATGTAAAAGTGATCATCTGACTGCTTTTACTCACGGGCAGCACCTACATAAACAACATTTCGTTACAGAACACACCAACTAACACAAAAATGGTTCTTTTTATAAAAAAAAAAATACAACATTCAGTACATATAAAGCTAAATAAACATGCTGAAATCCCCTGCAGTATACACCCACCAGCCAATGCAACAGGCTAGAACAAGTCATTTCAGCCTATCGCCTAGATCAGCCTCGGTATTTCAGGATAACAGGGCTGCCTCTTACTCCCATTGGAATCCCAACATCTGGAAGCCTGCTGGACAGCTTAAGAGCTGCAGGAGCATCAAACTCACTTCGACCAATAAAGTTCATTCATTGTTATATCAAAATAATCAACACAATAGCAACCCCATTTCACATTTAAGCAGTTTTCTCCCCAGTGGATGTTGTTAAGCAGCCTTAATAGACGATGGTAATTATACTGCTGCCTTAGCTGACATAGTACGTCTTTCTGCGTAGTTCTGGGTATATTTAACTTTCAGTCTCTTCAAAACTAGAATGTCTCCTGCAAAAATGCTTTGTAACTCACCGATTTCTTATTCGGCTGGCTGCTATCATAGCCAGTGGTAATATCTCGTACGTGTAAAATATTGTAAATACCGCAAAATTTTGGATAAGACTGAGGGGCATCGAAGTTCCGAAGTTTCTCAAATATCCTTTTGATAGTAGGAGGATCATAGCACAAGAAATAGGAAGTCTTTGATATGTGATATCCATACCTACAAGCAGATTAACATTTCCAGTTACAAGATTCAGAAGTTTTCTGCATATCTGGCATCTAAAGTTTTCTGCACATTTGGCATCTAAAGAAAGCCCCTGTTTGGAAAAGCAGTAACAGAAAAAGAATGCAGTTCTCATAGCTGTGGAGACAGATATTTATAGGTAAATGTTTGGACTCTGAAACAGATTTCACTGCATTACTCAGATCATCTTAAGCTATTTTTAAATTCAAACAAAGGTTTCAGTTCCAAAGAAATAAAAGCCAGCCATTTGGCTAAGCGCAGCCTTGGTAGCCCTCAGGAAATTAATATGCAGTATCATTCCCCACACCATCAAAAATTGCCTGCTGTAGCCACGTGAGCAGCCACAACAACAGACTATTTCAACAGCCTCTGAGGAAGGTGACTGATGATTCCATGCAGTTCAAACTACTATCCCCAATCAGACCTAATGCAAGCACTCACTAGGTGCAGCAACCGTGTTTGCACGTTGAAAATTAAATCGTTCTTTGCTATAGTCCACCAACTCCTCATTCTACAGAGGCCCTTTTCTGCAGCTTAAAAAAAATTAAGTGTGACTGGAAGATGAATCCTTCTGTTCTCGCTATCACTGACAAGCTTTTCAATCCCGCTGTGCGGAATCGGTTTTGCTACAGTTTGCATATGAGGGAGGGAACTCCCAAGTGCCATAGAGATAAACGCTGACCATGGTTTGTGCTTCCTCATTCCAAATTTGTAAGGGCCAGCAGGAAAAGGAATGGCATATATGATTTACTGTAACTGTGCCACCAGTTCTGTTAAAGCACAGGAACTTGTGCTGACAAATTGGGCTTATCACAGTATATGACTTAATTCTGACATAAACACGTTCCTCATTCTATTGCCACAAATTGTGTCCATGGCTACTGAACACAGGCCGTTCCTTTAATCTGGGTTCTACCACAAATCTCTGCAAGAACAGCATGCACCCTTCTAACAATCCCTACACTGTGTTTAAGTGAAAATAATAAGTGTTTAAAGATAGGCACATGGACAACTAAGATACAGCTACCCATCAGAAGATAAGAGAAGTAACACAGCACTAATTGAGTAAGAAAGAAAAGTTTGCCCTGGTGAATCCATATGCAAAATTCTACTCTTTCACAATTTATTGCAGAAATGCGACAGAAAGGGCCTCTCTGGTCCTTTGGGAGATACAGTATTTAAGTGTATTTAAGTCTGTAATACCGAAGACTGTAATCCATCAAAACATCAGAAAAAAACAACTTACAATGAGAAAACATCTGAGGGACGCATTAAAAATATTTACTAGATTATTTCCAGCTCCAAAAGAGTTAAGTAGAACATATTTGTGAAGAACACAACTTACGTTTCATATATCTCAATGAGTTTCTGTGCTAGTGTTAGGTTCTTGCCCTCCAGGTAGGTTGCCATTTCAGCTGTGACCACAGCTGCGCTTACACCATCTTTATCCAAGACTGAAGTGCCACACATGAAGCCTAGAGATAAAAATTGATCATGAAAAAATAACCAGATGTACTCTTACGCTGATCTACGATTGAAGTTCTAAGCTTTTTCCTGTAGAAGAAAATTGCCCAATACATGTAAGCTGTTTTTATTACTGCATATGCATTCCCCTTCTCTAAGAAATCTGATTAACTTAGGGGTTATAGGGCTTGAAAGATACCTGCTCTAATCAATTCATTCCCGATTGGTACTCGGCCCAGTCTTGTTCAACTTGTTCATCAATGACCTGGACGAGGGGACGGAGTGTACCCTCAGCAAGTTTGCTGATGACACAAAACTGGGAGGAGTGGCTGATACACTGGAAGGCTGTGCTGCCATTCAGC